TGCCTACATTTATTTTTAGTAACAATCCAATCTAGAGCCATTTTCTCCTAGAAATCTTCCTATTTTGACTTAAGGTCCATAAAAACATCAAGTAAAATGGTCAGAATTTTCTCTTTTGTCCTACAAGCCATGAAGCTTCAGAAACAGAAACCCACTAAACTCACCAAGTAGGTTAGGAAAAAAAAAACAGAAAAAGCAGTGAACCAATGGAATTCCACAGCAACATCATTCCTTTGAAACACAGGCTTAAAAGAAAAACAGGCTTTAAAGAAAAAGAAACAACCCACCAAAAAAACAACCAAAACATGTTCGCTAGTTCAATTATTGCAGTGAGCCCAACCATAGATTCTCATCCATAAACTGTGCCTTATTTTGGACCAACTAACCCTGAAGTTCTTTTATTGGCATGAATTCCTCCTCCTCTGCAGTTTCATTTCCAGTTTTGCTAGCCCAATGATTAATACAAGAAACTATGGAGGAGTGCTTTGGAAGGTTTTTTCCACTCACCAGCTGGCAAACTACAGGTTCTCCTCTTAGATTGGTGTCTGGTGCCTGCAGCAAACGCCAGTCTCTGCCTTTGTTGTAAGTAATAAAAGTCTTGATTTGGTCATCTACCTTCCTGTTAGCCAGGAATATGCCTTTGATCCCTGCTACCTAGGAAAAATGGAGACAGATTAAAAAACACATCGGGAGAACAGGCCAGAAATACCATTCCGAGGAGTCTCAGGAGTGGAAGCTCAACGAAAAAGCAAAAAATTAATCTCAATCCAGCCGTAGAAGACTGGGAATGGCAGTTACAATTACATCCAGATGTTGCCTGCACAGCTGGCAGGGCCTCTTGTAGCTTGTCTCTCTCTCCAGAAGGCAAAGATAAGTATTTTCACAGTGCAAATCCCTAGCCAAGAGCCCAGGTCTCCTAGGTTTCCCTGAGTGTTTGTGGCCAGGCTTACAATGGGCTTGAACACCCACAGCATGGCACTCAGCGGCTCTGTGGGGAATGAGATCTTTCCCATTCCCTTTCCACATTTCTGTAACATGGGAGACAGTAAGCCACACCAGAAGCAGTTGGTACAGTTGGGTCAAGTGGCAAAGGAAAGGAAGGGAGGACTCCTGAGGGGAGGCAAACAGGCCGGCCAGTTGGGTACATCCATAGAGCTGGTCTCTGAGTTCCTGTCAGGCAACACGTTCCCAGCTGCAGCACCAGCTGGGCACCAAGAAAGAGGCAGAACTTCAGGAAAAAAATAAAACAGAAAGGTTTTTATGGTCTTTCATTTACACACACACAGGCACACGCAAAAAGGAAATATTTCATTCTGAATATGCTTAAACATGGATTTTTTTTTGTGAATTTGATTTCTTCACTTTCCTTCCACTCCCAAATTCTGTCAAAAATCAACCCAGTTGTTCCAAATGTTTTGATCTTTGTCAGCAGAATCCGTTCCAACAGAATATGGTCCTGTCAAAATGTCCCCAAGTAGATCTAGCATTGAGTCAGCTCTCTGCTGCATAGCTGTGAAATTGAGACTGGAAGAAACAACTTGCTGCAAACCTGGAACTTCCTGGAAACAGCAGGATTATGATGCAAATGCTTCTGTTTTAAACTCCCTTGTGCAACACTACCCTTTAAATGACCCTGTGAAAATCTCTATTGGTTTAATGGTGAAGAGTTTACAATACACAGCTGGAGACTACAGACTGCCCAGCAATGGGAGATGATGCAAGTTTATTTCATCTGTTCACTGCAATATAGATGTTTTTTTTCAGAGGCAGGAAAATATATTTAATTAGGGAAAAATAAAACATAAAGCCTGTCTTTAATTTTGAATTATGCGATGGGTTTTCTCTCCTCGCCTTAAATGACCAGGATGACCTGCTGGCCTTGAGCACCAAGGCTCCATCTTGGAGCACCAAAACCATTCACTTCTCCAGAGGCTTAGAGACGTACAAATTTATGGAGTAAGTCTGCATTGCAAAGTCTACTCCATTTCTCTATACAACAGATAGGAGTTCCCTTAAAGAAGGACTAACAATCATCTCCCTGACAAGATCAGCATAAACTCCTAGTCTATTTTGATTCAGAACAAACAACTTGGACACCCATATTAGGTGTCAGAATCCAGGCAGATGGAAAGTTGTGTAAGTTTGTTTACTTTCATGTGCCAATCTGAGCATTTTTATTAAGGAAAAAAACAGCTGCAAACTATTCACAGCAAGGCAAGGCTGTTTTAGGAGAGTTAGTAGTCTGGCAGGAGAATGAGAACAGAAGATGATTCGAGATAGAAGTTATCCCACTATTACCTCTAGGCAAATGGCACCTATAAACTTTTGCTAAATAGTTCATAAACTGCTCAATGATCACAAAGGTAGAATCCAAATTCACTGTATTTAATGTCTACAATGCCTGTGAGCAAGTATTTCTAGCTGTCCAAGAGGAGAAACCAGTATTTCAGACCTTCCCTAGGCATCCACATTAGCATGAAAGGTTTTCCCTTTTCGGAGTTCATGATATCTCTTTCATGGGATTATTTGTGTAACTGTTGGTCTCATGTCACCTTTTAGACCCAAGTAGAGCAGTTGCAAAAATTCTATCACTCTGATCTATTGGAGTTTTTTGCTCTTCTGGCACTAAGGTTAAGTGTTGACGAAAGGAGTAGGGAACAAAAACTCTGAAGAAAACAACAGGTAATAAAACATCATAGGGGTCTGAGATGTCATATAGCCTCACCAGGAACTGACTCGAAAGCAACAGGTTGTCACATCAATCAGAACTGCACTGCAGAAGGCAGTGCATCTATATGCATCTATCCCCACATGAACTGGCTCAGAGTCAAATCCAATAAATTGGATTTAAAATTGGATTTATAAAATTTAAATTGGATTTATAAAATCAAATCCCTGGATGCCTCAGGGAGCAGTGCCATTTTGGTGCCTGCATAACTGCATCTCTGGAGATCAGAGCTTTGTCTGGCATGACCCCCAAAAAATGAAGATTCTGGAAGGAGGAGAGAGATTTACACTTGTCTGAACTACCAAGCAGTTGCTGTTCTTGTATGCTGACCTTTACTACATACCTCATAAAGGTCAATGATGATATTTCCCTCTAGTCCTCTACTGCTTTTCACATTCTCCAAGGCCAAGGTGAAGTACACTCCTCGGGTGTCAGAGATGTACAGATTGTAGGTATCATTCTGGTTCCACTCCTGAACAGCTGCAAACACCTGATTCTCATCTGTGCTGATAATATGCATGTCCTGTTAAGAGAAGACAAAAAAGGCCTATTACTAAGGATCTCTATATTTCTTTGCCCTTTGGGACATGTAGTAATTACCATGACTTATGAAAGGATGGCAATGAAGCATGAATTATAGGTGATCTTAAATAATTTTCTGTTAAAGCAAGCCAATAAATTCCCACTATTGTGACTTTTCTGCATTTCTTCTTCTTTTTTTTTATGGTCACTAGCTGGGTGAAGGGTTTTTGCCTTCCTCATTTTTGGTAGCTTGAAGGAATTTCATTCAGCTGCATTTTTTATTTATAAATTTGAAAGTCAATTTTATCACTCCTGCAAGATTCACAACCCTGTAGGGTAGAGTCCTCCAGTAGTCACTAAGTTTCTACACATGGGAGCACTAGCTTTACAGTTTCTGCTTCTTTCACTGGTTGGAGACTGCAGCAGTGCTCAGCATCCCAAGGCTTCTTCCTGGACCCCAGTGCGATGGCCAGGCTCACCAGCAAGTCATTGCCAGAGAACACAGCAGGACTGAGAACGACGTGTTCACGGGAAACCACTTGAGAACACGTTAGCTCTATTTGCGGAGGCATCTGTTCAGTCCCAACTCATTTTCAAGGATTGCAGGCAAATAAAGGAACTGCTCTTTCTGAAGGTCTCACTGATCAAAGGAAGGGAGATTTAAAAATACCAGCCCCATATTTAAAAAGGAGTATTCAGGTAGCACAAAGAACGGAGCTTCCCAGAGACGAACCCCACTGAGGCACTGCACTGTTGGACAGGCAGTGCTGTCCAACATGCTGCGTGCCTCTGTTCAAACACGGTGCACTCACCTTAGGAAGGGAGTATTTGGGCAATTTAATCTGGGCAAAAGGCTCTCGTCTGTATGACACGTAGTAATTTGCTCTTCCACCAGCTGTCACCTGCAAAACACCAAAAAGAGTGAGTGATGACCCTTCTGAGGCACCTATGCTGACATCTCTAAGAGGATTTGACAGCAATCCTTTCAGTGTTCTCTGTGACCCAAACAGATGTCTCTGAAAGCATCTGCGTAACTCCATCACAGAAACCCCAGGACTGGGAGAGGGATGGGGCTTTATTTACATAAACTTTGCTACTCTACTTTCCAACTTGTCTCTCCAACATACTTTGATTCCAACATGACTTTAAAATCAGATATGTCAGGAAAAAGGGAGAAGCAGGTCTAAGATTTAAGGTCTCAAGTGGGAGAAAGAAGCGCTTGGGTTCAGCCCATGGTTGCAGCACAAACTATCTTGAGCAAGTCAGTTGAATTCTCTGTGCTTTTGTTCCTCTTCTGAAAGGAGAGAATGCCTCTTTACTCTGCTGCTTCTCAACCTTTTCTGTTTTCACTGTAAAATTCTCAGGCCAGGATTGTCTTCCAGCAAGTTTTTACTAACAGAAGAGATCCAACTAGCATCATCCAATGCGAACAGGAAGAGCAATGAATACACCCTTGGAAAGTTGAAGATAAGCTCTTAGATGCTCTAGGTCTCCAAAAGAGTCATCGCTTTGAAATCACATTATCTCTGAATTAGGGTGTATGGGCAAATGATAGACATCCAAATCACGAGGTTGTATGGTCTGCCTGAACATTAGCTGTCAAGGCTATGTTTAAATGCCGCACACCATTGAGAAGCTGAGATTTTCAGCTTTCCAGTGATTTTCAACACTTATTTCTATCACCGATAATTTATAAGATATGGGATTTTAAACCTGTCACTAGTGCCTTACTCTTCCAGTGGGTGTTCTTTTTGGCATCATTTTAGGCTTGGCTAAAAGGCTTACAACAGTGAATTTCCTGTTTTCTGCTGTTTTGGTAAGTT